GCCAGAGGAGAGAATTTGACCCTCAGAACCTCCTAGAAACCTCCTGTGGTACCCAACCCTCCCTGCCAAGCCAGGCCCTTCCCTCAGAGTGAGCTTTATTAAGAGTTCCAATCAACTCACTCATAATTTTTTTCTCCCCTGCAATCAGTGACTCATCAGCCTGCAATTCATTAGGATTCCTGTTGTTGTCGGTAATGGCACAGCTGGGCACTCGGGCTCTGTGCATGGTAGATGCAGGGTGGGGTCCCTGTGGTCCTGGGGTACCCAGAGGTGGACACTCGGAGGGAACATTTCCAGACTGGACCTGAGTCCCAGCCCCACAGCCTTCCTCTGGCCCCTGGACTCTGCAGCCTCCCTGCAGCAGCTTACCGTGACTTGATCAAGGCATAGCTTTTACTGAAAGATGTGACCTCTCCTCCAAGAATTCTTTGACTTTCTGCCCATTTGGCTTCCCTCTACCAAAAAAAAAAAAAAGAAAATAGCGTAGCAAGACCTATCTCATGAGATTCTTGGGACAGTGTGGCAGGATGATGAAAATAAAGCCTGGCACAATGGTCGGGCACAGTCGCACCTCGTTAACCGCAGGGGACTGGTTCCAGGGCCCTTACAAAAGGAAAACCCTCAGACGCCCAAGTCCCTGTGTAAAATGCTGTCATTGTGACGTATGTGCATCCTCCATAGACTTTAAATCATCAGTACTCATGATGTCTAATAGAAATGCTGTGTAAATAGTTGTATTGTTTAGAGCATAATGGCAAGAAAAAGTTCTGTACGTGTCCAGTGCAGATGCAATTTTTGCTCCAAGTATTTTTGGTGCACACTTGGTTGAGTCTGTCTGTGGATGCAGAACCTGTAGATGTGAACAGCTAACTGTAATTGTCGATTTTTGACCACCCGGGTCTATGTTATACATTACACATACAGTATCTTCTTTAATCCCTACAGAAACAGTATAAGTTTTTTATTCATCTGTTTATTCTTGAAAATATTTGTTGAGCATTTACTACATGCCAGAAGTTACACAACATTCCGAGGCTCCAGCCATGAGCAAAACAGACAGGTTGCCTGCCAAGGACGCTGCGTTCCAGTTGCTGCCAGTACCCTTTCTAGGGACTGGAGCACCGAGCTCTGCAGGGCCATCACTTGCCAAGGTTACAAGGCCACCTTCTGGCTCCGAAGTGGCCTCTGCTTGCTCCTCCCTGGGCTGAGCACAGCGCTGGGTGTGGACTGGGCTTTGCCGGGGTCGGAGGCTTCCCCACCCGACCTGGCTGTGCTTGGCCTTGTTCTCCTTCGTTGGGAAGAGACGAGTCTGGGGATCGGGCGCTAGTGCTGTCGGCACTGGCGCAGCTCACTGCCTGTGTGAGACCACAGAGAAGGGGGTGAAGCCGCAAAGCCTCCATTTCCTCGACTGTGGAGCGGGGATAAGTGTGACGTGAGGTCCTGAGGGCTCTGCGGACCCTCGGCATGGGAAGGCACCGCAGGAATTGAGGTGCCAGCGGGAGCGCTTCCTTCCCACACCCTGGGGTCGTGGGAGCCACTTCCAGGTCCGGAGAGGCAGGGCAGCAGGGTGGTCATGAACTCTGGTAAACTCCAGCTGCCCACCTACTGAGCATGTCCGCTGTGCCTCAGCTTGTCACCATGGGGTGGAAAGGGTCATCGTCCCCGCCTCACTGGGTTGTGACGAGGTTGAAAGGCTCTTGGTTTAAGTGACGGTGACCTCGGCGACATCGCACCTGGCAGTACAGCCCTTTTCCCCGGAGCCTGGCAAAAGCCTGCGATTCTAAGGCTCCGTTGATGACTGAGTTTCTTGGTCTCAAAATCAAGTCTCGTTGTCCCTAGAAAACTACACCGCTGTTTGGTTTTGGATTTATCCCCTGCAGCCCGGGAGTTTTTTGTCTTTGTCGGTTTTGTTTTTTAATGTGGCATCTGGAACCTGAATGGAGCGATTTACTTTCCATTTACTGGAGTAGATTGTAAGAGGAGCAGGCTGGCGTCCGGGTCGCCTCATCCTCGAGGCGCTCTCTTCTCCTGACAAAGATCAGAGGTCGGGCTTCCTTGCGGGTCCGCAGTGAACCCCCCCCCCCCCCGGGCACCCGCGCGGCTCTGTGTGACCAAGGGGTCACCGTCCCCCAACAGGGTGAGCCCCCACCCAGTGTGTCGGGGACACGCAGTGGCCCAGGTCCCTGGAAGGAGCCTCTGAGCTCACGCACGCTGGTAGTATTGCTCAGCCAGGAAGAAATTCTCAGAGAAACCCTGGCGTGCGTGCGTGCGTGGTCACGTGAGGGAAAGGTTTGGCAGTGAAAGAGGAAGTCAGCAGGGTGAGCTGCCTGCGGCGCCCACGCAGGAAAATGAGTCACCGCCACTCGGGTCCCCACGTACACGGCTCGAGTCCCAGGGCTCCCCTCATTTTCACCCCGACTTCACCTCACAGAGGTGGAAGGGCTTACCCAAGAGCACCCAGCTCTGAAGCTCTGATACACCAGGAAAAATGGGGACAAGAAACCAGTTTTTAAATAATCTCAGGGAGGGCCGGGGATTGAGCTCAGTGGTTCCACCGCCTGCCTGGAAAGTGCAAGGTCCTGAGTTTGATCCCCGGTACCAAATCATCATCATCATCATCATCATCATCATCATCATCATCATCATCATCATCATCATTATCATCACCTCAGGAAGTTGGTGAAGAGGGTAGTTTTGGAGGAGGAGATGGTAGTGTGCCTGTCAGTGAAAATTGTTGTTCATGTTGTTCATCCTGATAACAACAGTGTTACTAACTGTTCGTGTTCAGAAAGTATCCAACAGCTGCTTAGCAAAAGCAGACGTGATGATGCCTGCCTATAGTCCCAGCACTTAGAGAGGCTGAGGCAGGAAGACTGCAAGTTCACACTCAGCCTGGCCAACTTAATGACCTAGTGAGACCTTGTCTCAAAACAAAGTTTGAACAGTGGTGAGAGACCCCAGTGGGCCCCATCCACGGGGAAGTAACAGCAGCCAGTCCCTGTGGGTGCTGTGTGCCCAGCATCGGCCTAGCATTTACCCAGGTTAACTCTGCAGAGCTCAGGTAACCCCAGGAGGCGGACTCCGTGACTCTGATCGTTTTACAGGCAAGGAGACTGAGGCACAGAGCGGCCTAGCTCTTCGCTGGTCACCTTGCCGAGAAGCAACAGCCCAGATGCACCCCAGCAGGCGGCCCCTGGGTCCGCCTCCTCCATGGGAGGGCAGCAGAACCAGCCTGGCCCTGTGCACGCAAGTGCAGCGCCATCTGCCCCGACTGGCCAGTCCTCGCTCGCTGGACGCTCTCCTGAGGCTACCAGGTCCTGGTGCCAGGGCTGGGGTGGGGCAGCAGCCTCAGACCCATCCAATGCCCCCTTCAGTGTGCTCCAGGGTACCTCAGGAGCACCTCCTCTCCCAGGCACTGCCTTACCCACCTTCTTCCCCACTCCTGTTCTAGGAGAGCAGCCTGTGGTCCTCAACCAGAGCCTGTTTAGCTCCAAGCAGGTGCTCAGTAAGTGTGTTTGCATAGTTGAAGCCAGGCACTGAATTGTCTTTCCACTCCGAGCCAAACAGGGATGCTTTGCAGATGCACAGGGAGAAGCTTCTGAAAACACAAGCCCTCGTCAACTGTAGAGAAAGGTGTGTCCATCATAGGCTTGCTCAGAAACGCTCCCCGGGGCCTTTGCCTGGGAAATGCTGTTTCGGGTTTCTGCTGCGCTTCCGGTGCCTGGATCTAAGAGCTGCCCCAGCTCCTCCTGGCCCAGTTCCACATTCACACCTCCCACGTGGGCAGTCCTCTGACGGCTGGAACACGAGTGTCTCAAGTAGGAGACAACTAACTGAGAGCAGCTACACCTGAGGTGGGAATTACGCAGGAGGCTGGATGCGAGTGGCAGAGAAGAGGTGAAGATAAAGTGGTGTTGGTGAATGCGAGGACCCATGGGCTGGGCTGCAGCTGCGGGTGCCCAGTGCACAGCAAGGTGGGCTGGTGCAGAGCCCAGCTGAGACTGACATGAGGTCGAGGTCGGCCTTTTGGGGGAAACGTGAATGGAACAACAAACCACACGTTCGTGCTGATTTTTAGCTGAGCTCTTGAGCTTTTGTGGCCCTTGGGGTGTCGGCTTGTCCCTCTGGGGCACCAGCCCCACCACCTAGAGAGTTGCAGGAGTGGGAGGAGGAGCATGGAAACCAGTCTCTACACAGGACTTCTGCTTCTCACACCCAATTCCAGTCTCTGCGGGCCAGTGACATGCAAAAGGCACCAGTCCTTAACTTTGTCCTGGTGTGGGATTGAAGATGGTTCTGGCTTTCTGCTTATTTTTTCAGCACTGAGAATTGAACCCAGAGCCTTCACGCTGAGCTACGTCCCTAGCCCTGTTTACCTCTTTAAGACAGTACCTCACTAAGTTGCTCAGGCTGGCTTGAACTTGCTATCCTCCTGCCTCAGCCTCCCAGGTAGCTGGGACCACTGGTGTGCACCACTCAGCCCGACTTAACATGGCTCTTTTCAAAAGCTCATCAGTTGGAGCTGATGGGTGCCAATGTGGCTCCCGGGCTAATAATGCCATGCTGCCTCCTTGGGTGCACTTGCTGACTCATTTCTGTGCCTTCACTGCTTCTTCGGGCCCCAGCACAGAGTTGGCCCACTGCACACGGTGGCTCAGTCATCCGCCAGCCTCCGGCCTGTCCCAGCCATGTGTGACTTCGTGAAGACAGGCTCACAGCTAACGGTGCGTGGCGCCTGTCCGCCACTCTTCCTCCTCCAGGAAGCAGCACTTGCCACGCAACCCTGAGCTTGGATGGGAGGCTCAGGCCACAGGCAGATCTGGGTCTGCATGGCAGCAGGGCCCTGGTCTGGGGAGTTCTCCTGGCCAGCTGCAGCTGCCCCCTGCAGGGTCGCTTCCCACATGCACTGCTTGTCTCTCTTGAGCGATGCAGGCTATGCTGTTTACTTTCACGGTTACATGTTCCGAAGAGAGTGCGGACAAAGTAGGGCTCCACGGGTACTGCTGCTTCGAAAGATCCTGCAACTCACAAGCGGTTTTGTGAACTGCTGAGCAGAGCATTTGGTGCTGCCTAGGGCAGCTCACGGGGCTGCAGTACAGATACTAAAGTTGGAGAACTCGTGCCAGAATGTGCAACTTAACTTTTTAAAAACCACCGTGCATGTGGCCCATCTGCTCCACCCTACCTCTGGGAAGTGGAAGAAAATGTTAACCTACATCCAGATCACTTGGGAGTTACCTAAAAATGCAGACTCCGCTACCCTCCCACACGGTGCCCACTTCAGCCAGCTTGTGGGAGGCCTAGGAATCTGTATTTTAATGTTTTGCAGCTGGGTTTGTGGAAAGAGGTCCTGGACCTTCGCCTCAAAGCCTTGTTTCCAAATGTGCTTCTGAACTACCATGGTCTTGCTCTGGCTTTGTTCCTCCCCCGATGATCTCTGCTGCTCTCAGGGCACAAAATCTCATGAAACCTAATTTAATTGTTAGGCAGAGCTTCCTCCGTAAAACCTCTGGGCAGGCATATGTGGGGCTGCGTGGTGATCGGATTCGTCAGCCCAGGTGCAGGTGGCGTGTGGGCTGGCCAGGCCAAGCTGCTGGGTGTGCTGTGTTGTAGGATGTACAGCAGGGCCTGGCCTCTCCCCCTGGACACAGGTAGCATGCACACGGCCCTCCTATGACAACCACAGGTATCTCCAGGCAGTACCATGTTTGCCCTGAGGAACAAACCCACCCACCACTGATAGCCACCAGGCAGGTTGGTAACTTTCTTCCCTTTTGAGAAACTGTCCCAGGACAACTAGACCCAGAAGAGGCAACCAGAGGGATCGGCTCACCTCCACTCCTGGCACTGAGTTTCCGAAAACTCAGATTCCTAAATGCAAAACTGTGCTCCACAGAAACTGCATAGCTCCGTGCTGGGTTTGCATCCCACCTGTCGAGGCCCACGCTATGTGAAGAAAAGAACACTTTGTGAGCAGAATGCGCACTCCGCAGCCTGTCATGAAGCTACTGTGGCTGAGCTGCAAACCCGAGGTCTCCAGGCTGGGACAGGCCGGGCACCTGTGGGTCCCCACCTGAAGGATTCCGCTGAACTGAGAGATGTGAAGGCTCCCTCTGCGCTGGGCACTGCAGGAGCTGCGCAGACAGAAATGAGGGAGTGGGTCCTTTCCCTCGGGGGCTGGGAGCTACTGGACGAGCAAACAAGTGCCCAAAAGAAGCAGTGGTGTGCAGCGCTGCCTTGGCGCCAGCCATGCTCAGCTCAGAGCAGCCGTGTGACTTCGGGCACACGTGACTTGGGGCTGGCTCCAGACAGGGCAGTGTTAGGATGCCCAGAGGTGACGAGCAGGCCTCAGAGTCGGGGCCCTTGGTTCAAACCCCTCTCTGCCTCTGGCTTAGTCACACGGCAGTCTCCCTGAGCCTGAGTCCCCTGGCCCTGAGCCAGGGTGGTCACAGATCCTGCCCCATCCCGAGACACTAAGTGTGAGACAAGCCCTGACACGCAGCAAAATGAATCGCTTCAGAGCATTGTCATTGCTGTGCAGATGGATTTATACCAGCCAAGCCCTAAGAGACCTGCCGTCATTTTCTTTGAGGTGGAAAAGAACTCAGTGACCCAGATATCATCATCTTGAGGTCGGGTCCCAGCTGTGCAGATCTACACATGGGCAACTGGATTCCCAGGCCTCCTAGAGCACCGGGGTCCACAGGAGGAGCCTCCCCCTGGGCCTCTGCCACTGCAGTGGGGCTGTCCCCTCTGGGCCAGAACGCCTCCTGGCGGGGTGACTGGCTCTCTCGGCCTCTGATGATGTCTTCTGCAGTTAGATGCTGCCGTGGCTTGGGTGGGGTGTGTGGTCCTCGCCGTGCCCATGAGGACCGCTGAGATGTGGGCCCTGCTGGGGGAGCCCCCTGTCTGGCTTCCGGCACCTCTCGCACACTGCCACCCTTGCAATGCCACCCACCATGGTGTGCTGCGCCAGGGCCCTGAACCTCCAGAGCTGTGAGCTAGATAAACATCTTTTCTTCATAAAGTTGCCCACCCTTAACTTCAGGGTTTCTCCATCAGCGTTCCATTCGCAGGCAAGGGCTTCTAGTCATTCCATCCTAAATTAACTTTTTATCAGGTGTTCTTTGTGTGCCACCAGATAAATGTCGAGTGTCCCCTGGATCTTTAATGAATTTGAAGTCTAACTGACCTTCAGAATTGCGGGTGTCTAGTGTAGGAGCCACATGCAGGAGTGGGCTTGCATCCAGCTGGATGGTGCTTAGGAGAAAACGGATGCTGGGAAGCAGGAGCTCTGTGCAGGGATGAAGGGCGAGGGCAGGGTGGCAGGAAAGGATGAGCGGCGGCACCGAGATGGTGCTGACAGAGGCCAGGAGGGTGCAGAGCATCCGTTGACCGGCCACGGGCTCTGTGCTTGGTCTGGAGCGGTTCACAGAAGGCCATGGGAAGGGGTGGCGGGTTGTGCTGTAGTTTCCAATGCTGGCTTTCCTCCTGCTCCTCCTGCTCCTGCTCCTGCTCCTGCTCCTCCACCTGCTCCTCTACCTGCTGCTCCTCCTCCTCCTGCTCCTCCTCTTGCTCCTCCTCCTGCTCCTCCTCCTGCTCCTGCTCCTGCTCCTCCTCCTCCTGCTTCTCCTCCTGCTTCTGCTCCTCCTCCTCCTGCTCCTCCTCCTGCTTCTGCTCCTCCTCCTCCTGCTCCTTCTGCTCCTTCTCTTCCTCCTGCTCCTCCTGTCCCTCTTCATCATCATCATCATCTTCATGAAGATGAGGCCGGTGCTGGTATATTGGGAGGATGGAAGCAGACAAGGGCAGAGAGCAAATGGGAGTGGGACGAGCCGGTGCTTCACTGGGCCTGGGGAGAGAGAGCAAAGGGAATGGCTAATGCTGGTGGATGGGCCCCTTCGGGCAAATGGAGTACACACTTCTTCCTGTTGCACTAAGCACAGCTGAAAACCTTGAACACTGTACATAAAACAAACATAAGACTGAGGACAGCAGAATAACTGGCAGTGAGGGGGATTTAGGGGGATTTGGTTTTTCTTGTTCTGTGTCATATAGTTCAGACTAGGTGCTGAAGAAGCCATTCCCCAGAAAGGCCAGCAGGCGCAGACAAAAATGTCCCCAAACAAAAGTCCTCTCTGTCCCTAGAAGGAGAAAGTTTTATACAAGGCAGAACATTTGTCAACAGTAAGCACCCCACTCCAAAGCCCACAGGAAAAATGACCCAGCCACTGCTCCTATCTCCAAAGGCAGATGAGAGACTCCCTCACCCCTCCCCAGGATGTAGCAAGCGCGCCACCTGCCTGCCTCCCTCCACCAGGTGGGGCGGAGAAGGCCAAGTAGGAGTAGAGATTTTCACCACTGACCCCAGTGGTAACCCGGCCATACCCACCTCCCTGGTGCCCACTCCTGGGGTGTCGGGAAGGTGGCTCACACTCCCTCCTGTATCGGAGCAGTGTCGGGGAGGCTGAGATGCCGAGGCCAAGGCTTTAAGCAAGCCCAAAGTCTCAAAACCAGGTTTCAGGTTTAAAGATCACTCATGTCAATAAAGAGGATGCTCATAAGATGAATGAAAAAAGGACAACACTAAAATGATAGCAAAATTATAATTATCTGATAAAAATTATATAAAGGAACCATCCTAAAAATGCTTCATTGCGTACCTGTGGACAGAATTCAAACAAATGAAAACAGTCTCAGCAAAGATATAGGAGATGTAAAGGACCACATGGAAATTTTAGAAATGAAAAATAACTGAGATTAAAAACTCACTGGATGAGCTCAATAGCAGAATACAGGGGAAAAAAGGAAAAATCAGTGAACTGAAAATAAGATCAATCGAAATAACACAATCTCAAAAACAAAAAGAAAATAGAATGGGAGAAATAAAATGAACAGGACCTCAGGAAACTGTGGGACTGTAACGAAAGATGTTACAGTTATATCAGAGCTCCAGACAGCAAGGAGAAAGATAATAAGGTTGAAAAAACACACAAAGAAATACAGTGCCACTTCCTTCGGCAGAAGCTGTGTTCCAAGGCCTTTGTCAAATGCCTGGATCCACATGGATAATTCTGAACCCCATCTTCATGCACTGCAACATCATGATGGGTAATGTAATGACTGAGACAGCCACTAAATGACTAATGGGAGGGTAGCATATACAGTGTGGATATGCTAGACAAAGGGATAGTGTCCTAGGCAGAGAAGAATAGGATGCTGTGAGATTTTATCACACTATTCAGAATGGCTTATAATTGAAAATTCATTAATTACTTCTAGAGTTTTTCATTTAATATTTTTACACCATAGTTGACTATGAATAACTAAAACATGTAAAACAAGCCATGAATAAAGGAGATCTACCATAATGGCTTAAAAATTCACACATTTGACATAAATCTGCAGACTCAAGAAGCTGGGTGAAACCCCAAACAGAATAAATATGAAGAAATCCATAAAAAGATATATCATATTCGAATGTCTGAAAACTAAGGAGAAACTACTGCAATCACTGAGAGAAATGGCACCTCACTCACAGGGGAAACAGAACACATGCAGCAGATTTCTCATCAGAAACCATGAAAATCAAGGGAAAACAGCACAACACTTTTAAAAGGATTGTCAGCCCAGAGTCCTGTATCCATCAAAAATACGTATTATTCAGGCTGAAAGGAAAATCAAGATAGTCTCAGGTGAAAAACAGCTCAGAGGAGTTTTGGGCAGCGGACCTACCCTAAAATAATGGCTACAGGAAGATCTTGAAACAAGGAAATGATAAAAGAAGAAATCTTGGAACATCAGAAAGAACACAAAACTGTTTGCTACTTTGCTGCCCTTCTTGAAGGAAAAGAACAAAAACCAAACCAGAGGATGAGAATTTCAAAAAAGGAGAAGAGTCTGAATCTTGCAGAGATCGTGGAAGACGGAAGGGGCTGACTTGGCTTCTGCAGGTGGGTAACTGGCCCGGGAGCAGGGAGGCAACCCTGTCTGTGGCCGCTCAGCACCTCGTCATTTGAGATAGAAGAATGAGTCATTGCAGCTGGAATAGAAATGGTAGGCCGTCCAACTTCCTCCTTTCCTTGTATTTGCCTGGAATTCCACGGCTTCTCTTAGAAACTTAAAACACTATTTTAATTACCTTATTTATACCATGTATTTCCTGCAAGAACTGAGCCTTGGTTACAGAATGAGTTGGAAAATTTGGAAAGGTAATACCCGTTCAAAATTCTAAAACCAGGTTTCAGCGTGGTCAAAAGACTGAAACGTAGTTAACTCCAGCAAGGTTTTGTTTTAGAGTGCTGGGAATGAAACTCAATGCGAGACAAGAAGAGCTCTGCCACCGAGTCACAGCCCCAGCCCAACAAGTGTTTCCGAAGGGGACCTTGCTGTAGGGTTGGACGGAGACTGTCAATGAAGCAAAGCTGCTCGACAGGGCTGAGGGAACTGGCTAAGGGCTAGGGCCCAAGGGTCGGCTCTATTTCCAGGAGCGTGTGAGAAACTGAAGACGACCTGAGTGCAGGCTAGTGGGCGCTGCCGCCAGACAGCTGGAGCCCAGCCGTTCGGAGGATGAGGAAGTCTCCGTGTCAGTGGAGAATCCTGGCTGTATGCGGTGAATGGAGCGCGACGCTCAGTATGGCGTCCAGTGCAGGGGTCTGTGCAAAACAGGCCTCCTGTGCAGGGTGAGTGCGTGAAACCGGCGCAGGCCGAGAACCACCGGAAGCAACTCCTGGGTGAGGAAATGGAGAACAGAGATGGGGCAATACCTCTACTTTCAATGATTCTGTGTGGTCTAAATTTCATACAAAGCATATGTAGCTTTCGTAATTAAAGACTGTAAATGACTTCCACTTACGGGGACAGTGCAGAGGTCTTGGCATCCTGGTGGCTGACCACTGCCTGGCTGAGTTCCCTCAGAGGGCCCGGGTGACGGACAGTGAGGCGGACCGGGCGAGCCCAGAGAGCCCAGAGCTGCCGAGGGCGGCCTTGGATGTCGCACTAGGACAGGAGGCAAGCAATAGAAGAGCCGCTTCGGTCCTGGCCGGGGTCTCCAGTCCTCTCCCAGAGCCCGCGGCTTCTGCGTGTCCCCGTGGTCTCGCCAGGCTGCTGTGAACACGCGGGCGGCAGGCAGCCAGGGGCGCTGCGCCAACCAGACGGTGCCGGTGCCGTCCTCAGGGAGACCCGCCTCGCCGCCGGTTCCCTGCAGTGTGAGCCCCCGGGGAAGAACTTTGCTCCCGCACCGCCCCGCATCCCGGCGTCCGGGCTCTGGCTCTGAAACCAGTTTTTCGGAGCCTAGCAGCTGCGGGCCGGGCACAGCCTTCCTTGCCCTTTCCCAAACTGAGGATGGTGCTGGTGCTGTTTTCAGAAGTGTGTGTCTGCCTCACTCCAAGCCAGGCCTCCCTGCCTTGGTGGGCAGCTGGGAGCCCGCCTGCCCCTGGCGGCTAGAGGGTTAATCATCTCTTGAGTTTCCTTTGTGATTTCCTCTTCCAAGGGCACCCCTTCCTTCTAACTTGTTCTTTAATTTAAAACTTTGTCCTTTGGGTTCCCAAAGTCTGTGGCCCTGAGCTGTTAGAACTCACCCGCCTGGTGGCTTAAATAAAGTTTATCTGATTTGGGCTCAGTAGCCAAAAGGAGTTCGATTTGTTTTCATGGGGCAATGTTAGGAATCCTCAGGGCAGTTAATCTGTAGACTTTTGCCAACCTGGAGGTTCCTAAAAGTACCTTAGCCACTCGTGGTGCCTGTTCACCCGCTGCGGCCTCCTACTGAGGCCTGGGAGGTGCTGGGTGTGGACTCACTGCACCCCCCCAGTCTGCCGCCCGCTGCTTCCCACCCCGCCCCACTGCCGCCGCCTCCTGTCCCCCGTCCCAGGACCAGGCCATCTTCAGGAGCACAAGCTGCATCCTGCTGGGACCTCTGTGCCTTCGAGCACTGCTCCCCCTCACCCCGAGGTCCAGCCCCTCCCTGAGCATGCGCCGAACCAGTCCCCGCCACTCCCCAAACACGCCAGCCTCCCAGCCACTGCCGTTGGTCATGTGCCCACATCCTCCTTCCCTCCTGGCCCCCGAGAACCTCTGCCTGCGGCTCAGAGCCCCTCGGGAGTCTCCTGCTCCAGGACACCCAGCAGAGGGCCGCATGTCAGGGCCAGGCAAAGGCCTGGGGTCCAGCAGAGGTCACGCAGATTTTCTCCAGATCAGCGCCCTACCCTGAAGGTGGGGTCCCACATTATCTCGCGTCATGGAAGGGGACACGGAAGTTAGAGGCCTGGGCCCTGCCCTGAGCAGCGCAGCTGTGGAAGTCCAGTCTGTGAGGGGGGCGCGTGTTCAGCAGCTCAGTGTCCTCAGACTGCAGTCGCAGCTCCTCAGTGCATCTGAAGTCGGGTTCGTGGGCAGGGCTGCTCATGATTTGTGGGCCCAGTGCAGAATGAAAAGGGAGGGCCCTCATTCAGAAGGCAGGGACAGGCTTTTCTTCCTTCTGCCGGCGGGAGAGCAGCGATCCCTGGCAGCAACAGGGATGGGTGGCCCAGGGCCTGGGACTCGGGGAGAGGGGTGGACGGGGCAACCTCCTCCCCACCTCTCAGCTCCCCATCCCTCACGGCGCTGCACGTGCACACGCGCGCACACTCCTTGCACACACAGGCGTTCCTCCTCTCCACTTCCCATCGAGGGCGCCACATAAGGTCAGCCCCAGGAGGGCAGCCGCCACCGGGTCAGAGTGGCAGAGTGGAGAGAGGTGAGCGGGGCTGCTTCACAGCACGAATGCTAATTGCAGGTCTCCCGCGGGCCGGGCTGCGGGCTCAGCCTGGGGAGCAGGAACACGGAGGACTCCGGCTCCGTCCTCCAGGGCTCGCGGGACAGTGAAGACAGCACTACCTACCACCTGTCACGTTATGCCATGCAGACCGTGGGAAAACGAAGTGCGCGGCCCCGTGGCAGGGCCTCAGCCTCCTCTTGGCTAGTGGTGTCCAGGAAGAAAGCATTTCAGCTGATCCTGAAAGGGGGAGGAGTCGCAGATGAGGTTCAGGTGGGCTGCCTTCCGGGGACAGGGAGCCGCTCCACCGAAGACCCCAAACTAGGGGACAGCGCACTTGCAGAGCTGCCTGCGGGGCCCGCTGAGGCGCGGGGCCAGATAAGGGCAGGAGTCCTGGCTACCGCTGAAAGCTCTCCCCGCCCGCGCTCCTGCAATGGGCTCTTCCAGCGGCTGCAGCCTCCACCTCACACAGCTGGCGTCACAGCTGGACCCACTGTGCTCTCGGAGTGTACACCGCAGCACGCAGCGGCGCTAGGCCCTGACCGCCAGCGACACACCGGGCCTGAGAGGCCGCTAGATGTGTCTCCGGACAGGAACGTAACAGTCTGCTGTGCCCACCGGGCCCTACTGGGCCTCGGGGCCTGTTCTGCGCGTGGGCCTGTCCTCTCCTAGCACCCTCGGGAGCCCGAGCAGCAGCAGCGCGCAGGCCCCTGTGTGACAGCTACGCCACTGGCTTGAGGGTGGACCTGGGACGGAGGCGACCGAGAGAGAATTCGCAACGGCACAGGTAGCCCTTGGAGCCTGGCCCGTGGCGCTGAGAGAGCGCACCTGCAGGGAGCCGCCTCTCGCCCCTGTGGTGCCCAAGACTTTGCCGGTTCCTCAGCGGCCTCCAGCGGAAGGCACTGGCAGTTTGTTCACAGTGCAGAAACTCAGAGAACCACACGCTTTGCCGAGGCCACATTTTCACTGATCACCAGTACACAAATACCTGTGATGTTCCAGGTCCTCAGAATACCATGGTGAGCACAACAAGGGGCCTGGCCTTGAGGAACTTAGGGTCTACAGTGAACCCTTGAGTTACAACCAGACTGACATGAACATCTTGAGTTATGACTGGAATTTTAGTTTTAATTTACAGACAAAGTCTTGAGTTACAACCCAAATGCTGGCCTCTTGTGCTTCCAGATGGCCTCAGATACAGATTTAACCCCTAAGAGCTCTGGAAGGAGCATGACAGCATCCTTTCCTGTGTGGGGTTCACTGAGAAGCCCTGGGCCAAGGTCTCTCTAAGGACACTGAGATCCGCCTGTGCACAGGAGAGAGACTGTTGAAGGCCATGGAGAGGAGCCTGAGCCTTCATTGACCAACTTGACTTACAACCAACCTTTGGGAACGAATTGAGTTCGTAAGTCAAGGGTCCACTGCAGTAGGGATCAAGAAGTGGTAGACACATGCTTTAAGAGCAGGCCTATTGAGCTCCAATTCACGTACTCCTGTCTGTCTGTCTGTCTGTCTGTCTGTTTGCTTGGTACTGGGGATCGAACTGGGGTCTTTGAGCTTGCAGGACAGGTCCTTGAGCTAAACCCCTGGCCCCTAATGCACGCACTGGATGATTCACTCATGGACAGTGTGCCATCCAGTGGTTTGAATGGATTCGCAGAGTCGCACAATCATTGCCCCCATCAAACACTCTCAGCGCCCCACACAGCTTGGGACCCCTAGCAGTCCCTACCCCATTCCCTCCACACCGCCATCTCCCGCCAGTGGAGCAGCTACCCACTGCCTTCCATCTCTGCAGACTTCTCTGCTGCCTATTTCCTGGATGGAGCCAGAGAGCAAGGAGTCTTGGGGACTGGTGACTTCGCTAGGCTGTCCTCCAGGTTCGCACAATCTGCTTCCCTCCTGTTTTGGCCAAAAGGTTTCATCCTATGGTAGAGCATGCTTGGCTTATCCAGTGCCATCAAAGGATGTTTGACCTTTTGACTGTTACAAACAGTGCCGCTAGGACACACGGGCAAGGGCCTTGCACCCAGTTCCACCCTCTCCAGCGCCACACCACTGCCTCCTGGGCAGCTCTTCGTCCCACAGGCTGGTCGTCTGGGAGACCTCGGGCGGCTGGGAGTGATCAGAACAAGAGTTCTCAATCACATGGCTTCAGCCGAGCCTGGGGCAGCGACTGGAGGGGACGAGGCAGCCGAGGGAGGCCCGCTGCCAGTGCCAGTGCTCAGGCGGCCCAGGCAGAGCGCAGAGACCGAGGCCTGTGTCCTGAGCAGCCCTAAACCAGGCCGCTCAGCAGCTGGGACCTGGAGTGGCCCCGCTTGGCTCCGACAGGCGTGCCCTCGGTGACTCGTGGGTCTTTCCTGACCCTGGGACCTCCTTCCCATTGCTTTCAGCACAAAGGAGGGGTTGTGGCTCCATCAGCTGCTGGTGGAGAGGAGCATGTAGGTGGAGCCCAGGCAGCTCCCATCCTGTGGCTGTGGCTCCAGGCAGCCGGGCCCTGGGGCAGCCTTTCCTGTTGGCTGCCACGGGCCCCAGACACCACCCTCTGGGTCCCATAGCACTTCCTGCCCCTCCACCGTGGGGTCTAGGCCGGGGTCTCCTCTGCCCACTGCCTCCGATTGGAGCTCAGGAGACACTGCATCCTGTCACACCCCAGGTCCCTAACAGTGGAGGGCTCAGAGAGTGCTGGGGAGCTGCTGCTCACTTCCTGCTGCCCGATCCTGGCAGCTGCTCCCTGCCAGGCTAGCAAGGTGGAGATGGCAGCTCGCACTAAGCCAGAGGGGATGGCAAAGCACTGAAGGCACTTGAGTCCCACATGCGAGGTCACCATCACCCAAATGGTGAAGCGGGTGCATGTGGCAGAGGAGCAGCAGCTGGAGCAGATGGCGCTGCCCGCTGCTGACAGCCCCGGGCCCAGCCGTTCTTTCCCAGCCGCCCTGCAGGCCCTGCTCTGCCCTGGCCTAGTTTCAAGCTCAGTCTGCACTGCGGCTGGCCCAGTATGCTCGCCAGTGCTGGCCCCGAGATCTGCCCTTCCAGCCCTCTGCTCAGCACCTTACCTCGTATCAGAGCCCCAATTAAAACTCACAACTGATTTCCTTCCTCAAAACAATGGACTTCTGCTCACTAATAAATCGTGTGGTTAACTCAGAAACTGCCAGGAACTCCCAGAAGGGGCTTTCTCTCTCCTGCTTTGTTACCCAGCTGTCCAGTCCCAGCATTGTTTTTTCTGAGGTTCAGAGCCTGTGTCCATAACATAGTCCTTCCCAGAGAAGCAGCCCTGGGCTGGCAAACCCGCTTTGGACTCTTCCTACTGCATTAAGGGTCTTAATGTTATTCCTGAGGGGGTACCTGAGCTTCCTCCTATGCCTTCCCAACCCTCAGCCTGGGCCAGCCCTGTTGGGTCTGGCTCCCTGCAGCCATATCGGGCATCCTCTGTCCCTCTGCCCTTCCCGCCGACTCAGTAGCAGAGCTCCTCTCATCTGTCTCCACGTAGCCATTACATCTCAGAGTGCTGCAGGGCAGGAGCTGAGCAACCTGCAGGATCATCTCACCACTGTGGCTTGATGTGGCCCCCAGAGGCATGGTGCGAGGTCCCCTGGGGTGGTATTGACTGGTGGAACCTCTAAGAGGACAGTGATGGGGTGCAGGGGTGAATGCTGGCCTCACAGAGCCGGTGCTAAGAGTGTGTCATTGCCAAGCAAAGCTGTCCCCTGCTCCCTGCCATGCCAGATACAGCCAAGCCCTCACCAGAGGCTGAGCAGATGAGGCCTCTGATCCTGGACTTCAGTCTCTAAAACAGTGAAGTACACAAGCCTCTTTTCTTTACAAACACCCAGCTTCTGGTATTTTATTATAGCAACAGAAAACAAAGACACCAACCAACCTCCAGGCCCAGAGGCTGTCAGCAGTGACACTAGTGGCGTATTTGGGGCTTCAGATTCTCCTCAGGCTTTTCCCTTGCGGATGCCTTTCTGGAGACAGGTCAGAAAATCCAGGGCCTGCGACCCTGCACACAGGGCACCCTTGGGCGGGGAAGGTGAATGCCCTCTGCCGGCTCCCCGCCACCTTGGTGTCCCACGCTTCAGAAGGACAGCATGTCCTCTCCAGCTTGGAGATCCCCACGTCCTCCTCCCGGACGGTCAGTGCAGAACAGCACCTCCACTGTGAGAAATTTGTCAGCGCTCCTGTCCCAATTGCTTGAGGCTTCTGTCTGGAAAATCGTCTATCCCTTGCTGCTCTGGATTTCCGGGCTCCGTGCTGCCAGCCAGCATTGCTGCCTGGTTCT